GTTCGTAACATGCCAAGTAACTGTGGCAAAGTCTTGTTAATTTCATTCATGTTGAAATTAAGGACAAATTGGCTAAAGCTATTTGGAAACGATTGCAGGATAACATCGGTAGCCAATTCATCTTTGAGAGGAAATCCCAACTTTTCCAACGTTTGGATTTAACCCATCATCTTGATGACATGAGCTCCTACAGGAGTTCCCTCTGCCATTTTGCATTGAAATAGAGCTTTAGAGGTCTCTTATCTCTCTTGACATGCTTGCCCTTCATATATTTCTTTAGATTTTGAATCATCTCATATGCAACCATTTCCTCATGTTACTTCTGAAGCTCAGGAGTCATGGTGGAAAGCATTAGACATCCAACATCTAACATATCATCCATATGTTTCTTGAATTTGTCTTTGTCAGCTTTTGAAGCATTAGTTGCCGGTTCATCAGGAACAGGTTCCTCAATGACATATTTCTTCCTTTCCTGTTTGAGAACAATTCTCAAATTACGAAATCAGTCAAGGAAATTTATGCCATTAAGTTTATCCTTCTCAAGGAGTGATCGCAGTGATAAAGTGTTGTTTGCCATTAAATCTACAACAATGGAAATATTAAAGTAAGTAAATTTACCGAATTAAAATTTATAAATATGACTTTATTTACAAATTACTCCCACTATTTTATTCAAAATTAAAAACCCTTTTTGTTTTAATTTCGAAAAAATTCAACGAAATTTTTTCTAGTGGGTGAGGATCCATAATACATCAATTTCCTAAATCAACTTTGGCTTTTCTTTTAGGATAGTGATTATTTAGGTAAGTAACACTTGACTAGTTACATCTCATGTAACTCCTCATTTTGGTGAACAACTTTTGTTCAAGTCATCTCATGACTTATCCAAATATTTAACCTCTAGGTTTCTAATCCTATTAGAATAACCTAGCTAAGTTATTACCAATATTTCAACCGGTGAATATCACTTGCTTATTCTTCTCTTTTAACCAAGATAGATTTATGTGTCAATGCTTTGGAAAAACCCACACAATATCGATCAAAGCCTTAACGAGGGTAAATATAGGACGGTTAAGTTAACTTAGATTATTAAGAGGGATTTGCGTAATTATCTCATCATTTTTCATTTTATTATTAGGCCCTTATTGATCTCATCAATATTTATTCTTATTTTATCATTTGATGCATTGCATACATAACAAATATAGCAATAAATAAGATGCAATGGTTATAGCCCAAAACAATGACTAAGGTGGCTCATCCCAAGCCAATGGGAGAACCAAGAACCCTAAAGCCTAAGACTACTCTCTAAGCATCTTCTCGCCATTCTTCTGCTCCTTGTAAATCTTCATAGGTTTACAATTTTAAAAGAAACTCATTTTACATACGAGGGAGTAAGATGAGAAGAGAAATACAAAAGAGATATAGAAAGGCACGACTCGCAGACCGTATTTCAAATTAAACCATTATAAAGTGAACAAGGGCTATAACCATGCATGTCAAACACCATGCAAAACAAACATATCATATATATACACATGTTCTTACGCCTTTGTTAAAAAAAATTTATATGGGCCTTCAATTTGTACTACTGATGAGGGATCAAGGGGCGAAGCCCCTTGCGGCGCTTAGGCTGTCGCGGTACGGCCGATGGGTTTTTTTTGAAAAACAATACTTCTGTTTCCATGGAAAAACTTCACGATTTGATAACAATTATCAACAAAATCGTGCTTTTGGGATTTTCAATCCCGAAGGTTTTCTGCATCGGAACAACCATTGTTCCACTTCCAAACACGATCTACAATCACACTCCCACAGATCATCCAACAACAAATCGATTGAAAAACATATTAAAAAATTAACATATTAATCGTTACGGTTATCGATTCGAACAATGATATCAACATATTTACCGAAATCGATAAAACTAGAACATGCATCTCATACATATCGCATCAACCAAAAATTTAACCCAAATTCATATCGTACAAGTGGCTCTGATGCCACTGTTGGGACCGTCGGCGCACCCCATGGCGCAGCGGAAACAAAACTCGACGGTCTCACCAGTGATCCAAGTACGAAAAACTGAAATCGGGAGGAAGAGATGCAAATACTTACAGCGGGTTCCTTGAAAAACAGCAAGGACAACAGTGAATACTGGTGGTGTAGATCGGTTCGAATCGTAAGCCTCCATGAAATCACGTCTCGGCCTCTACTCAGTTCATCCGATTGAGAGCAATTTTGTTTCCCCCCAAAACCGTTTTGAGAGAAAATGGCTTAAGGTTTTTTATGTGTTTTCTCTAAAAACGGCTGCTAGACCTAACACTTGCGAACCTCTCGCTGAGGTTGTTTACCTCCTTTACGTAACCCCCCAACACTATCTTTTTCCATTTAACCAATACTGACCTTAGAAGTAGTGCTTTTTCCCTTACCATCATCAGCCTCCCGTCCCTCATTGTCAAGAGAAACAAACTGAGACCCCGACCCAGACGTATCTTCAATCTTATCAACATTACGATTCGACCCTCCTCTATGTCGCCTGTCTGCCACAAGCATCCACGGACCAAACAAGTTTGTTTCCGACACATCAACTTTGTTCGCGCATGTATTATTCTTAGAGCGATCAGTGGCTTCTACCTGGTTCTCGTTATCACCTTTGTTCATCTCACAAGCTTCCTTGGTTTGCCCGTAAACCCCACAAACAAAAATTTTGTAAGCCTTCATATTCTATCTTCTGAAGAATTCCATTAATGTGAATACACGAGACTAATGGTTTTGTAAGATCCATAATGCTCACTAAACGAGTGAATTTGTCTCATCTCCCAACATCCGTATTATAATCAATTTTAATCACCCTCCCAATAAAAGACGTTATATGATAAAACAATACCTTGGTTTAATACCGATAGGGTAAGCCTGACAGCCTGACCCAAACAATCACTTGGTTCGGATGTTTCTTTGATGTCGAAAACCCTCTACTCCAAGGCTGCACCGTAAGATAACTACCATATATAGTCCATGGACCTTCAATGAGGATTTTTGTGTAATCCTTGGCATCGGAGAAACGGACAAGGAAGTAGTTATTGTCCAGATCGATAATGTGTAACTCTCCTACCTGCTTCCATAAAGCTTGGACCCGACTCACAAGAGCCTTGTATCGAATCGTACGACCAAGGAGCCTCACTATAATCGTATTACACATGTTCATATCGATTTGATCATGAACTCTATCAGAGAACCGAATGGAAGGTATCACCCCGGACCGATTCGTTATGACGTCTTCAGCCATAACCGTTACTTCATCATTAATGAAACTATGAACCCTAGTATTCTCCCCATGCAAAGCACCCACTCCCGCAAATTTGCTTGCGTAAGAAGCCTTTGCCGCAACAGATTGTTGAGGCGCCCCACGTTCACCCTCTTCCACCAGAGATTATATACCAGATTTTCCAACATCCTTAACCCCATCTTCAATGGCAACCTACTTAGTTATATCCTCCAGCGTTTTGCCCGTAGATACCCCATTACGTCCCTTCTTTTCTTGTCACTCGACCTCCAATTGAGTAGCAGAAGCTGGCCTCTCCCTCGATAGACCCACATGGATATCTGGTACAATCTCCGGAGGTCCCCACCTGGATTTTCGAACTCGTTCAAACTCGACGACACAAGGTGGTTGTCCACGTAAGAGCCCATAAACCCTAATAGTTTTATTGAAGATGTTATTCATTCGTCTTTTTATAGTTATTAAGCATCATGTCATCTAAAGGTGAGCAACAAAAACCGAAAGATCAATTCGAACCGCAGTGTTTGAACTTGTTAAGATTATGAAGTAAAAACACAACCATGAAAATAACTGAACAGTAACAAAATCATTTTATCGTCCGTTGCCAAATTCGACAAGGAAAAACTACTAATGTTATCGATAATGTTCGGAGAAAGAAAGACTCTCTGTCATATACACAATACTCCAATTATTCATATATTTTTACAGTGACAATGAAAACATAAATCTGTTTCAGTTTTTAGTATGTACATTGATCTTTTACAACAACGAATATAATACACACGGATGCAAATGAACATTAATCTACTTCATCTGAACAGACGTATTGTCGGCTCCTTTCTCAAAGGAAACGCCAGAAAAGGACATGTTTTGTCCAATATTCACGCCATGTTGGTCTGTTCGCCGTTGTTTCCGCTGCTCATCGATTGATATCAGTTCAGGTTCTCTTCTATCTGCACCAACGAATCAATGAAGCAAGCCATTCGTCCACCTCCGTGTTCTCATTTAAAAAAAAATTACACTGTCTACAATATCTTTATACAATATTTATAAATACCAGACCATGTTTTCGAGCAGACAGTCTTTCATATGTAATCTTCAAGAGCTCGGTATCAGTTAGTCTTCAGGGAAGAAAGCCACTGGTCCTCGTACATTTTGCTTTCTGCAAATCAAAGAACACAAAAGAAGAGGATTCAGAACAATGCATATGCTTCAGCAAGTTCCATAATGCTTACAGAAGATGGCCATGATCGGAAACTTAAAGCACATGGCTTCCCAACAATTGTCGAACAGAAGACAAGTTATGGTAACTATGGACGAGTTGAAAGGAAATAGACTGCTATGTAACCTAAACATATAAAGAGATGCAACCAATTTGAGAATCAGTTTTAAAAGGGTCGAACAAAGCGATAAAATTACGGTCTTAAGCCAAAGTAAAATGGCTTTTTATCTCAGATTTCAATCATCATGACCTTGCTAATAGGTAGCAAAAAACTTGGAAAACATCATCTTCAATTGAAGATTGGCAAAAGAAAAATACGTTATAAGTCTCTATTCCCAATTAAGTACACTGGGACATATGCAGGGAATGACAAATTACGACAGCAAGGTGTCCACCAGAAGAAATGTCAAACTTTTCACAGTTCAATATCTATAAGAATTTCAATGGAACTTTTCACATTCAACGAGAAATGCTTATAACTAGTTAACGTGAAACCTAGAACATTGTTAGTCTGCAAATACTTCTACTCATGCAACCCTGAACATTTTTCATTACTTCGAACAATTCAAGCAATTCAACTATATCTGTGGACCAGTCCAGAACATAAGGAAATGCATCAAGATTAACGGAGTTGAATATGCTTTAATTCACAAATCCAGAAGCTAAAGTTTGTGTTAAGCAGCTGGTCAATGACTTGTCATATGCCGTGCTGCAGCTTAGTCGTTACTTTGTTCATAAATAACATGCCTAGTGCCAAATAACATTCCAAAGGCTCATGTATGGGAAATAACCCTATATATAGTTTACATAATTCAAATCCAGGTTGTTTCCTATTATGTCAAAGGCTTGCAATCTAAACCTCAGAACCAATCCAGTTATCGACTTGCTAAGCAATAAAGACAATGGAATTGAAAGTCGATACGCATTCTTTACATTAGAATACGAGTGAGAAATGGTTCTTACCAGCTAAATATGAAGTTTTTCTTGGGCAAGAAAACTCCCTGTTTTGTCTGGTTAAGAAAAGCAAGATTGTTAGGCTCTTAAACCCTCCTCAAAAATTTTCTCCTATGATAACTTGGTTGTTAAGATTTTAAGTCCCATGACAAACTTTGGAGAAGAAATACAAATGAATGAAAAAACCAAAACTGTCAATGATTGAGTGAAACAATGGTATAGTAAGAGTGTCCATCATTCAACATCAACTAATAACCCATTCACCACTAGTTTCCAGCACCAAGCCCTTAACAAAGAATAAATCAACAATGCAACACATCGACAACAATGTAACACCTAAAGGAACTTGTACGAATGGCAGCAAAGAATTGAACTCGCTTCAAACTTTTGATATGAACAAACCTTCAAAAAAATCTAAAAATAATCTATTCCATAATAGCAAGGTGAAACAAACAAACACCAGTAGCATCATCAAAACATTTCGTCGAACAAATTGGAAGCATGAACACCAAACTATAACCACCACAGATTATCAACACCAACAAACTTAATGAAACCAGAACACTCTATCAACGTCAACAACTACTGATACAACTTGACAAACATCGAATTTTCCAAATAAAAATAATTCATAATTCTCAAATAAATAAATAAATTAGTATAGGGAAGTATGGTCGATCCACATGGACTACGGAAGTTTGATAATAATGTTTCTCGGATTGAATCAACGGTTAAAAAATAAAAAAGGAATTTAAAATTAATGAAAACAAATGAATAAAATAAATAGATAAATAAATATTGAATAAAAATTATAATGATGAGAAAAATAAATAAAGTATATAAAGCAGAAGAATTCAATAAAGATGATATAGCTCAAGTTTTGCTTAGCCTCAATTTCGACTGGTCATCGAAATAAATTTTCCCTTCATGATGTATGCTAGTTACAATCAACAAGACTCAACCCTTGCAGCTAACTATTCTCTCCGATTAATCAAAATTTCCAAGTCTATCTCCAAAATCTAATCTTTGTTAGTCTAGTCACGTCTATCGCAGTTAGATCCAAAATAACTTTAAATTCTGGAAAAGCTCGACTCGAGTTATAGCGTCTCACCGAGAATCGAACTCGATCTTGATTTCCCTTAACGGACCTCCACTAAGTTTGTTCACAGGAAGCCAAATTACGACCAACCGACCCGACTCTAAACTTCAAGCAAAACAGTTTTCAAATCAATGTGTACCTTTTGAGCTGAATATGTAATAATTTTTAAGAGAATGACCGATTGCCACTCCTAGTTTCCAGAGAATCAAGAATATGATATGAATGTATGAAGATCAAGATTCAATTCTCACGAGTAGAATTGAGTTTTGCAAAAACCTTTGGCTAAGTAAAAGTTTAACCAAACATGGATTGAATCATGCTTAGCATTGTGAAAAGAAAATAATGAAAGAATAATAAAGAAAGAAAGATGGAGATGAAAGAAAAGTTGAACTTCAATAAATAACCAAGAAAAATAAATTCTAATATGATTTTCAACTTTTGAACCTAAGGGGTATTTATAACTCGATAGTTCTAAGAAAATAAAATAACTAATTCCTAATATAATCAAATTAATAATACTAATAAGAGCTCTAATAAAATAACTGATTCTTAAATAAAATAATAATAGAACAATCAAACTAAAAATCCTAAATTAAAAAGGTTTATCACAAAAGATAAATATTTAAGTTTTCTGGTTGAATTCTTCTTCATCTTCTGGATAACCTTGTCCTGTGTAAATTCCAAATTAAATATTCAAGGAAGTTCTGCTTGTCTTCTATAAGATGTTGAAATCTACTAGTTTTTAGACTAATTAGTCCAATGAAGCTCTTATCCAAATAAACTCAAAATAAAGATAAATCAGTAATACCCAAGCGATAAATGAGAGGTAAATAATAATAAAATATGTGATATTAAACTCTCATCAAACTCCCCTCACTTATTCAATGCTTGTCCTCAAGTATACATAAATTCCAATTTCCATCATTCACCAAAGATTCACTTAAAAGTTTATGTAAAATGTAACATCTCTAACACGTACCCGCCTCGATACGAATCCGAGGTGTCACATTAAATTTTTCAATCATTAACTATTAAAAGTAGTGGAAAATTTAAACTTTTATTTGTACTAAAATGACAGAACCCTTGAATTAAAGTAAATAATAAAAACTCACATTCACATTTAAATAAAATACTTAATAATTTACATAAATACAAAAAAGTATAGATTTACAAAATAGATCAGAACATTACAATTTAAAGCTTGTAATACATGCCAACAATTTACAAATAACAAGAAACATACGCTTTAATTTGTTCTGATATGATCTTTTGCAGTAGTATATTGTCCTCACATATCTTTAATCATATGTTTTCTTTAAACCTATGTGTGAAACAATCACACGCTAAGTCGTTGACTTAGTGAGATAAATACAAGTATCATAAATCATTATAAAATCCATTCTTATTCATCTCATAGAGACACATTTCGTAACGAATTAAAGTTATAATTCATAAAAATATATGCTTTTAGACATTGTGTTGTTTCTATTACTTTGCTCATAATAACCCAATGCATACTATTGAGAACTCTAGGTATTTGAGTATATTGAGGTTGTGCACTAATGCAATCACCACTGCTCACATAATTTTCACCAAAGTGCCACATATTTGTCCCTAAGGACCACATAGGATTGTCCTGAAGGACCACATAATTTTGTCCTGAAGGACCACATAGAACCCTCGACTCTTGGCATGCCAACTATACCTCCAATTCTCATACATACACCTTGGGATTTTTAGCCACATAATTATTTATCATTTCCTTATTCAGAGTGTCTTGCTCAAATAAGCACTTTCACATCGAGCATTTTTGTATAAGCATATATCACATATCACATTGTCATAATCATGTACATATAAAAATCAGAACATAGTTTAAGAGATATAACTTGAATAAAACATTGTAAATAAAATATTGCATGAAAGAAATAAAATGGTTTTCGATCGAAAACTCTGAGGTTGGCTTATCGCAAGCTACCCTCGAATCTATTGTAAATCAAATGAGTTGCACTCACCTTTGCCTCACTGAAGTCCTAAGCAAAATCCTAAATGAAATCCTTTTATCTTTCGATAAATCACTTTGGTATAACGCTTTGATCGAAACGATTCCGATCCAAACCTACTCGTAAATATATCCAATATCAATACCTCTTTACATTAGCGTATAACCAAATTAGTAATTACAAAAACGAAACTAAAACTCTCCTTTAAATTTCTAACGCACTAGTATTGGTACCCTTCTTATAGTACTGATACTACTATTCTATGGTACCAATACCTACTTCGGTATCGATACCATTTTGGAATTATGGAATTTCACTCTTAACAATAGTATCAATACCATACTTCTGGTATCGATACCCCACTTTAATATCGATACTAATTCAATCAGTACCAATATTGTTCATCGAATTCATACATTTCTCCTTCAATTTACCCTTATAGTATCGGTACTGTTCTTCCAATACTGATACCTTTATCCAGATTTCACCTCTTTTACTTCAAATTTTACACACTCTTCACCTAAATCTCAAACTTTTAACCTCATTCATACCCTCAAACTCATCATCCTTAATCATAGTTAACATACCTCCCTAATTTCCTTTATAATACCCAAAATTTCTCCTTAGAACCTTAGAACTGAAGATCACACCAAAACTTCAAACATGATCTTAATCCTATATTATACTTTTAATCCCTTAATTATAGCCTTGACAAGTCAAATTTATCATTAAAAATCCAAATACCTAATCATATCAACAAATCCCTTAAAGACCCATTTTACAAATTCATCATTAATTCACTCATCTTTTAGTTTTAATCAATCTAAAGTTTTCCTTAGTAATATATATCACCTAAATCTTCAAACCCAAACAAAATTTTGAAGAAACAACCAACTTGAATTAACTTACCTTTGAAATGGAGTCTAACGGGAAGAGAATGAGAAGAAACCAAGCTTCCAGATGTATCTTTCTTATCCACTTTCCCCATTTTAAATATCTCATTTAAAATGAATTTTAAATTCATTTCCAGCCAAAAGACCTCTTTGCCCTTTCACTCCTCCATCTTTGCTAATAAGCCCTAAACAAAATTTCCACAATTAGTCATTAAACTTTTCAACTTCTCAAAACTGATCAAGAAGTTTTAAAATCTTACACTTTAGTCACTAGGCTGATGTTTGGGGTGTTGCTTGAAATCCCAAGTACATGCATGGATCGAAGAAGTTATACAAGATAATCAAACAAAAGTGACAATATAATCCAATAAACAACAATTAACCAAATAAATAAGAGGTAGATATGCAAAGCATTTGTTATTTGCTTGTGAGACGAAATCAAACCAAGTTTAGTTTCCTCCTGAACAGCGATTGGCGGAGTGTGAGTTTTATTTTCCTCCCTTTTTGTACCGCTCACTCCTTTTATTTTCAAGCGCTTATTTTTTTCTTCTTCTTCTTCTTTTTTCTTTTTTTCTTTTTTGAAATTTCTTCCTATTTTACACTTCTCTTTTTTCAACTCTGTAGTTTCGACTCGTCATCGAATCTTTAAACTAGAAACGAGATGACAAACCAAGCACCTCACCCGGGTTCTATAATCTGATCACATTCAAACAATCTAACACTCACAATCGCCTCACAAAGTTACACACCTGAATATAACATTAATCACTAGCAAAATAAGAACATTCTCATGTTTAAGCAACACTAACAATTATACCACAAGGTTAAAAGCTTTCATCAAATTATTTCATCAACTCAAATCAATATTCGTGCATAACAAGATCAACTCAAGTTTGAAAACAAGGGATAATGACAAAACTAACAAGTCAACCAAGGCAATCAATAGTCATAAGAATTGAGATATCCCATCAAACCAACATGAATAAATAAGATGAAATTTTCACTCTA